AACCTTTTCTAGAATTCCTAATTCAGAAGGCCAGGGTTGTATCACACACCCATGCCTACGCTAACCCTGACACATGGAATGGGATGACAATGATTAGCCAACAACAATCTTTATTCATCCCTGAACTTGGGGAGAGGGTCATCTTCTCTGAACAAAGGACTATAGTAGATGAACATCCAAACAAAACTGGGGCTTTCTCAGCAATGAAAAATATGAAAGGGAAAAGGTATTGGATAATCAACAGTGTTTACCTCACTAACAGATATATTCATTTTCTGTAAAAGTGTGTGTGTGTGTGTGTGTGTGTGTGTGTTCATAGAAAATATCAGGAAGGGTACATATCAATCTGTTAACAGGTTTAAAATTTGGAAATGGGACTCTATGGGGGTGGTATATCTTTACTTTTGGATATCTTTACAGATTCTTTACTTTTTACTTATAAAATTTTTATGAGTTTATATTACTCTGGTCATTTAAATTTAAAGGGCTGCTTCAATCTTAAAATGAGCTCCTCAGAAATGAAATTAGGATTTTATTTTTTTAAAGATTTTATTTATTTATTTGACAGAGAGATACAGAGAGAGCACAAGTAGGCAGAGCAGCAGACAGAGGGAGAGGGAGAAGCAGGCTCCTCGCTGAGCAGGGAGCCTGACCAGACTCCGGGATCATGACCTGAGCCGAAGGCAGACGCCCAACTGACTGAGCCACCCAGGTACCCCTAAAATTAGGATTTTAAAAAAAGTCAGAGAAGCATATGTTGACAGATCCCATTCCAAGCCCTGGCCCTTAATACCATCACTGAGGTGCCACTGGCAGGTTTATCCCTACTGGGAATTTGGAGGCACAAGGCTATCAGAGCCTGATGCCATCAAATATTTAAACCATCCACTGCCTCCCCTTACACTCTCAAAGCAGCCTTCACATCATAAATTGGCTTCCTGTGCACATTTTCCTACAAGGGAAGAATTTGCTGGACATGGCAATTTGAGAATTCTGGCTCCCTTGGCAGTTCCATTTCTCATTGTGTATTAATTCATCGGTTCTTTGGCTCAGATAGCAGGATCGGAGCTGAGTTAGTTATGATCTACTTTCCAACCCTCCAACACATAGGTTCTTTCTTAATACTGTTAAAGTCAAGTTTATGATCCTGGACAATGATTAATTCACCAAGGTTAAGTGTCACCTCTGAGGCCACTTGGCAGCTGGCCAGCTAGCCTGCCCTCATGACACTCCTGTCTCTTCAAGCACATTTCTTTCAGGCTCTTGTGCTTTCTAGCCACATTCATCTCAATAGACTGTCTCCTTTATCCTTCATTATGTCTTTTCCTCTATGACTGTCTCCCTAATTCTATCTCTCTCTCCTCCTATCTCACCACCTAACCTTCCTTTATCCTTTCCTTTTTTCTTTCTGTTTTTCACCTTAATTAACCATGAGGTTGAATAACAAAATATACCAGAACTATGTGCCAAATGCAATGTGCTGGGCCATACAAATAAATTATATTCTGACTTCACAATAACTCTGAAATGTTTTCATTCTTATTTCACAGAGGAGAAAGTAGAGTATCATAAAGTCTAAGTGGTTGTGTTTGATAATGAAAGGTTTTTGCTGCTTAATTTTCAAAGTCAATCAATTAAATGTTTTATATTTCCTTTATCTTAGAAAAATACAATTCAAACATTTGTATATAACCTCCATCTTATTTTTGCCTGTGAGATTATTGTCCTAGAAAATAATTCACCTTGGGTGTGTTTGTTTTTTTCTTGAGTAGGAGATAGAATGAAGAGGAAAGAGACAAATTGGAAATGTCCCTTTGAGAAGTAGGGCTCACCAGTGCTCTTTTCTCCCTCCTTGTCCTCTTTGCTGAAGACAGGGCTTGACCCTGATATCTCTGAAGCAATCTTAGTCTTCTCCATGGAGGAGAGGGCCTTCTCTGTCCAGCCAGGATGAGTGTACTTTCTGGATTTGTGCAAAAGGAAGAGGTAAAATGTTCAGCCCCTAAATTTGTAACTTTCAATACCTTGGAGATGGAGGTTGCAGTAAAGTTGGATTTGCTCCTCGGAAGATTACTTCTAATTATTTGGATGTTGAATTAAGCTGCTCAACTCCAGCAGGTGTTCTCCCCATCATTCTGTAGATAGTGAGGTAGAAGAAGAGAGAAGGATCTTTTCTATACTACCTCATATTGGGTTTGGGAGGAGCAGAAGAGAAAACAGGAGTTTCCAGATGGGTTCCAGGCCCCTCCACTCCTACTCCATGGAGTAAAGCTGCTTGTCTTCTGGATGCTCAAATCGCTGGATCTGGGTTATAGGCTGGAGGAATACGCAGCAAGCCCTGGACTGAGGACTGGAGCGAGGCAGCGGAGAGGTCCCAGGTCCGGTTGAAAATGGAGGGTCCAGACTTTAGTGGGTTCAGCACCGAGGACAGAAAATTTAAACAGCTGAAGCTGGCCTTCGGGCTCAAAGTCTCACAGTTCAACCCCGCGCCAGAACCCCACCCCCACCTGACTCCCGCGCTCGCTATTCCAGGAAAGGATCTAACCTAGCCCTTGGTTGACTGGACCCCAGCACTTAAAGTTCACCGTAAGCCATGGCTTAGTTTCCTTCTAAGGCCCTTTTGAGTATCTTCACTTAGGTGTCTATTCCGCAGTCACCTAGTAGAGTGGAGTCCGCCTTGGAGTAACTCTTAAGGTCTTGCTGATTTGCATACATCCTCATACACTGAGGCTTCTCCGTTCTGGTTTTATTATAAATGAATTGTTCAGAGGAAGAAAGAAAAGAATTGTTTCAATTCTTTTCCTCTTCTTTCCAATTCTTCTTTCCCCCATTGCTAGGGTCTCAATCTGGCAATTTCCCCAAGGCCCAAGGAGCTTGCCCGTATGTGTGGTGGTGATGGAGGGGGGCGGGGACCAGACTCCCGACAGCCAGGGGTTTGTTGGGGCATCCTATATGGCTTTCCCCAGATAATTTCCCCCACATGCTTGGCTCCTGAAAGATCCTTTCGAGGCTCACAAGGAGTTTGCATTTTGTGTTAGCACATAAGGGTCAGAACTTCTGGGTTGAAGTGTCTGGAGCTCAGGTAAGAAGCCATGACTGGCACCTTAAGACTTGCATAGGGGACGTGACCCGGATTTGAAGAGAAGAGTGAGGGGTAGTGGAGTGAGGACTCATTTTGAAATGAAAGGAGTCCTGGGTCTCTAAGCAGCTTCTAAAAATACCAACTCCCAACGCTGGGGGTGGAGGGGGAGGGGAAAATCGAGCGTGAGAAGAATGAGGATGGAAAGAGGTGGGGGTGTAAGAGCCCTTCTTCAGGTAGATCTGATTTCAAAGACCCCGCCTGTATCCAAGAACCTGCCGGTCGCTACACCTCCTTCTGCTTCCTCAGCTGGCTTCATCTCCGGCGGTGTCCGAGCCCCAGCCCCTCCTGATGACCTTTCTTTCTACCGGCAAAGGAGTCCAACTCCTCCCAGCCACTCTTATTGCTGCTGTCCAGCAAGTATGTCTGTGAGCGAGCAAGTGTGCATATACACATACTGGACGTATGTACACACACACACACACACACACACACAGATGACACATGAAAGCGGCTTGTAAGTGACCAGTATTATACGACGTCACGAATTTTCATTATTCTCGGTGCTCAAGGAGGTATGGACTGTGGCAGAGACAGAGATTCACCCAGATATTTTCAGCACAGAGCATGGCACTCAGGGAGGGTTGGTTGGAAGGCTAAAGAACACAGATATACAAAACACACAGTCAAGCCACGCAGGTCATGTAGACACAGGACTCATTCATTTTCAAGGGTTCTCCAGCTACTTTAGCGTCCAAAAGCAGAGGAGTTGGGTCCCCCAAGAAAAGAGCCCTGAAAAGCTACAAGGTGGGTGGAGCTTTGCCTGCTCAAGTTCAGCCCAGATGGTGGCGCTCAATAGCCGCCTCCCTCGTCCTGGAGGGCTTCAGCCCTTCCCACCACCAACGCCTTAAACCCTCAGCTTGCACATAAATGACCTTCACTAGATAGAGGTCGTGTTCCACGTTTCCTTGCAGCTTCTCCAGCGCTGGTTGAACTCTGTGAGAATTGGTCCGCCTCTCTCGCAGACGCCTCGGCGTCCCCGCCGCTGAGCTCCTCACCAGTCCCCTGGGATGGGCGGAGACGGATTATCAAAGGGGGGAACTCCAGGATCTGAGCAGACCGGGGGAAAGGGTAGTTGTGCAGAATGCTGCCTGTGTCCTGGCAGCAAGAGCAAGAACCTGAAGAACCAATCGTTCATGCAAAATCTACTACCAACCCCATCCTGGCGTCCACATGTTTTCCCAATCTCGGAAGCGTTGCTGATAGGGTGGGACTCCGTCTCCCACTTTGCTCTCCCTTCTCGAGTAGCTCCCAGGGTCGGGCTTAGCCCCTTCCTTCCTCCAGCCGGTGTGTGTGTGTGTGTTTTGTGTGAGGAGGGCGGGGAGAGAAGGGGGCGGGATCCAGCCAGGAGACGCCAGGAGCCGCAGACATAGGAAGAAGCCAAGTGCTGGGAGATAGAGCTCCCCAGAGCTTGGGGTCAGGACGTCAGGCTTCAAAATCCCTTGCAAGTCCTGGGAACAAGGGAGCTTCCCGGCTAGCTCAGAGGTTGCAAGTGTCGCTGCCTCCCGAGGGTCACCCCTCCTTAAGCCACGCCCACGTGTCTACTTCTCGGGAATGAGAGGCTAAGGTTTTGCGCTCTGGGCCATCGTCGACGGCTCATCCTCCTCCCCAGGAGCCAGGCCAGCGCTCAGCGCTGCCCCACCCCCACGTTTGGAGATTGGCGGGACCCCTTCCTTCCCCCCTCCATTTCGCTGTTCCGCCCCTGGCCTATGAAACTCCACCCCTCCACCTTCTGCTGGCGAGGATTGGTGGACCTCCCGCGGCGGTGCCTAGTGATTGGTTCCCATGGATGACGGTAACCAGCGAGATCCCGCCCCCAGCAGGCGCTAGGGTCTGGGGGCACTGCTCAGCGGTGCTGGGGCTGGCGCGGCTTGAGCCGCCGCCGCACTGACTGCGCGGTCTGCGGACCATGGAGACCGGCGCCGGCCCACATCCGCTGCGCCTGTTGGTCTGCCTGATGCCGCTCTGTCTGGCGTTGCTTTTGGGACCAGGGAGGCCCGGGACCGCCGAGGAAGGTGAGGAGACTGGTGGCTGTTCTTGGAGCCGGGATGCCAGAAGATAAGGGGCTGGAGAACTGGGGTTCTGAGGAAAGGAGTCGTATAGAGAGACTGGAGTCTTTACTGGGGTTTGAAGCCAGCGGGCAGCGGGAAGCAAAGAACTAAAGAGACAGAGAAAAAGGTAGCTAAGCAATGGAAAAGGGAGGGGCATTGAGGAGATCGGGCTGGAGACCTGGGAGGCTGGGGAAGAAAGAGCCCAGGAACCGTGGGAGCCAGAGGCAGCGGTTCAGGGGCCAGTGAGACGGACAGTCTGAGCGATTGGAGGGGAGAGGTGTGGGGGTGGGGAGATGAAGAGAGCAGAGGAGACAGGGAGGTGTGGAGGTGAGATCGAAGTACGGGACGACGGGACAGAGCCCGAACCGCGAGGCAGGAGGTGGAGCGCTGGTCGGGAAGGGGTGGCTCCGGCCGAGAGCCGCCCGACGTGCTGGCGAGGGAGCTGTCCGCAGTGCTGAATTCGGAGCGTAGCCTACCCGACGCGGTCCGCGTTGCTGGGCTTGGGGCTGCCTGAGGTACCAGAGCCCGCGTCTTGCGTCTGATTCTGGATTTGGGGGAGCTGCACACTCATCTGAATCCAGAGGCGTCATATCCAGGTGCAGAATCCCGAGGAGCTGGAATCTGAATCGCTGACCGGGGGGTTGGGGCGCCGGATCTCTGAGGCTTTCCAATATGCTATTCCGAAGTGCTGTCAGTTATACCAAAATCGGGAAGCTATCTGTGGTCCTGCTTACAGTCGCCCATACCTCTGGAGCCAACCCTCTTAGAGACCCTTACCTTGGAGCCCCGCCCCCTTGTTTAAGCTCCAGCTTTGTAATCTTCCAAGACTTCAGGATAGCCTGGGCTCCTGTCTCTGAGCTGCTGCTGTGCTGTCCAGACCAGTGCTTCTTTGGGATTGATACTAATAGCAGAGGAGAGAAGAGATTTTTATTTCTCCTGCTGCTGCTGGCAGAGTCTCTCCACTCATTTTTCCCAGAGCCCCTGGGAGTCAAACTGAAAAGGTTCAAGTTTCTTCCATCCCTGGTGACTTCAGAACTCAGAAGAGCCCCTGAGTATGAGTAAATTCAGGATGTATGCAGAAATCCTCTAATATGCTCATGTTCTCCCTCTTCTGGACACTCAGCTATAATTTAGGGAGCCCAGGGAGGCGGGAGGGGGGCTCACTGACACCTCCCTCTCATCTTAGAGCCAGTCTTAGAGTACTTCCATGAACTCTGTGGCAGGCTAAATAATGACTCTCCAAATATGTCCACATCCTAATCCCCAGAACCTGTGAATGTTATTCTAAATGGCAAAAGACTTTGCAGATGTGGGTAGGGATCCTGAGATGGAGAGGTTATCCTGGATTATTTGGATAGCCTCGATGTAATCACAATGGTTCCTGTAAGAGGGATGCAGGCGGAGTCACAGCCCGAGGAGAAAGCACCTTGATCACAGAAGGAGATTGGAGAGAAGCACTTTGAAGATGGAGGAGGGGGCCACAAGCCAAGGAATCTAGGTGGCCACAAGAAGCTGAAAAATTCTAGTGGAAGTGGAACCTCTGAACCTACAGATGGAGCCAGTCCTGCTGACACCCCGACTTCAGACCAATGAAGCTGATTTCTAACTTCTGACCTCCAGAACTGTAAAAGAATAAGTTACTGTTATTTGAAGCCGTGGAGTTTGTGATAATTTGTTATAGCAGCTACAGGAAACTTATACAGGCTCCTTCCCTAATCGTTGTGGCTACCTCTTTCTGGACTTGAGCTACTCACACCCCACCCCCTCATGGTAAGGTATGGAGTGGGAAAAATTTGTCTCTGTCCCCTCAGCAAATTTACAGTGAACTCACAAAAGGTTCCCTCCCACCTTCCTGACCTTCCGGTTTTCTGACATCTCTGTTCTTCCTTCTCCCTAGTCATCCTCCTGGATTCCAAAGCCTCCCAGGCTGAGCTGGGCTGGACTGCACTGCCAAGTAATGGGGTAAGTGTAACCTTTCCCTCCCTGTCCCAGGAATCTTCTGGTGGTCTGGGATTCAAATCCTTTCGCTCCTTGTGGTTACAGCAGCATAAAATGGTCCTCAGAGCACGTGGTCTCCAGGAGCACTGGCTTCAAGCCAGAGTGGCCTATTAGAAAACGTTGAGTCTTCAGTCAGTCCAAGAAGAAAAGAAAAGGGGGGCAAAAAAAGATAGTGAGGGGGAAACTGGCAAAATATACGCGTCATCTAGATAAGCCAATGCTGGACAATGCCTTGCACGTAGTAGATCCTCTAAGCAGTGTTGTTGATTGATGGATTGACAGAACAAGCAAGATTTAAAATCCTAAAAGAGGCTTGGAAACTAGGGGTGGGGGTGGGAGATGTGGCTGTGTGACTGCAGCCTGGTCACTGAGTGGGAACCTGGTGGGGAGCCAGGAGACTGCAGGCACCATTCCCAGTTCTGCTGCTAACTCGACGTTCATATCCAGTCAAATCACTCTCTCTCTCTGGAGCCTCAGTTTCCCCACCTATAAAATTATGGATTGGGCTCCGTTGTGTCTCTCCAACGTCTCTCCCAGCTCTGCATCTTTTATAATTTCAGGGGCCGGAGGTGGGGGGAGAGAGAATGCGTGATGATGGGGAAGGGGGTTTTCGTCACCGCCAGGGCTCGACCTCCTGGGCGCGCCTTGGCTCTGAGCTTCCCACATCTTTGTTCTCCTCCCCAGTGGGAGGAGATCAGCGGCGTGGACGAGCATGACCGTCCCATCCGCACATATCAGGTGTGCAACGTGCTGGAGCCCAACCAGGACAACTGGTTGCAAACTGGCTGGATCAGCCGTGGCCGCGGGCAGCGCATCTTCGTGGAGCTGCAGTTCACGCTCCGCGACTGCAGCAGCATCCCGGGCGCCGCCGGCACCTGCAAGGAGACTTTCAACGTCTACTACCTGGAAACAGAGGCTGACCTGGGCCGCGGGCGTCCCCGCCCAGGTGGCAGCCGGCCCCGCAAGATCGATACAATCGCGGCGGATGAGAGCTTCACGCAGGGCGACCTGGGCGAGCGCAAGATGAAGCTGAACACCGAGGTGCGCGAGATCGGTCCGCTCAGCCGGCGGGGTTTCCACCTGGCCTTTCAGGACGTGGGCGCATGCGTGGCGCTGGTGTCCGTGCGCGTCTACCACAAGCAGTGCCGCGCCACGGTGAGGGGCCTGGCGGCGTTCCCAGCCACCGCAGCCGAGAGCGCCTTCTCCACGCTGGTAGAGGTGACCGGAACGTGCGTGGCGCACTCGGAGGGGGAGCCCGGCAGCCCCCCGCGCATGCACTGTGGCGCCGATGGTGAGTGGCTGGTGCCCGTGGGCCGCTGCAGCTGCAGTGCGGGATTCCAGGAACGTGGTGACATCTGCGAAGGTATTCCGCGGACGAGGGGGCGTGGCGTGGGAGCGTAGCGCGCAGGTGGCAGTGGGGAGAGAGCGTGCGGTAGATGAAAGGGGCAGGAGGGGGAGTGGAGAAGCTGTGGGCTGTGGAGCGCAGAGTCCAGACCTTCTGTGGAGCTTTCCAGCGAGCCCGGCCAGGACCGTTGAGGGAAGTTACTGGGAGGTGAATTTGATTTCGTATAAGGGGACATTAGGGGCTTGTATTTCAGGCACTATGATCAGCACCTCACAAAAGACGTCTCCTTTATTCTCGGCAATGAAGTAAGTCGCCAGTATCCCTATTTCGCAGATGAGGAAACGGAGGCTCAGAGGGATTAACATCTCACTTGCAAAGTTAGTAAATGGGGAACCAGGATTTGAATCCAGATTTGTCCAACGGTCAAGTTCTATTACATCATGCTGCCTCCCTTAGGCATAAGGAAGAATGGTACAGCAACCCACCTCTACTAGCTAATGGATTGTTTACATTATAAAGAGTGAGCACCCTTTCACTGATGATATGCAAATCAGAGGCTGGCAGGGGGATTTTCTTGAGCTGGAGAGAGAGAGATCGGGAGGTTGCCCTAGATGACTACTAACATCCCACCCAGCTCTCTGATCTATGAATCACTGTGCCCCCTGAGGGAAACCTTTCATGTGCGGGTCCTGTGGGGTTCTCAGGTCTGTGTGGGCACCAGGACCAGACCTCTCCTTTTCTCCCCGACCTGTGGCTCTGAGGACTGAGGGTAAGGATGGGGTATGGATGCGTGCCCTTAATGTAGAAAGATCAAGTGATGCTTCTTCTAAGCTACAACCTCTTTTGGATGCCAGACAACAGAAATGAGTCAGGCATAGTCTCAACTCTTCAGAAGCTCTACAGATGAAAAATGTAAAAATTTAAAAATCACAAAGTGATATATGATCTAACAGAGGGATTAATATAGTAGTGGGAAGACAGAGGAAGAAATGACTAAACTTACTCTCTTTCCTTTGTTCAATCGTCCATTCAATATGAACTGAGAACTTACCAAATGCATTTAGGAGGGTTCATTATATGTATTTAGATGATGTCATCATCTCTTTCCTCGGGGAGATCTTGTGGATTAGTAAGGGACTTGGAGGCATGAACCTTCCTGAACTCTCTAAGTAGGGTTAGGATCCACTTCTGCTCTCCAGCACACATGGCAACCTCTACTTCTTGCTTTTTTTTCAAATTGAAGTGTAGTTGACTGCAATCTTGATTTCTGCACTCACCCCATGGTATGCAGTGATCTACTTATTTTTTTAAGATTTTATTTATTCACTTGAGACACAGAGATACAGAGACAGAGAGAGAGCATGAGCAGGGAGAGAGGCAGAGGGAGAGGGAGAAGCAGGCTCCTCGCTGAGCCAGGAGCCCGACGTGGGGCTTGATCCCAGGACCCCGGGATCATGACCTGAGCTGAAGGCAGACGCTTAACCGACTGAGCCACTCAAGCGCCACTGCAGTGATCTACTTATGTGTGTTTCCACCACTGGACTAGGAACTGACTTCAGGCAATGGCTGCATCAGTCTCAGCAGCCTCAGTGTCCATAACAGTATGTGGTAGGTGCTCAGTGGAAATGTACTGGGTGAAGGAGTGGTTACCATAGCATGTGATACATATCAACAGAGAGTTGAGGAAGCCTGGCAAAGGGAGAAGCCAATTCTAAGGGTGGAGAGAGATGGTGAGAAGGCCTTTCTTCCAGGCCGCTAAAAGCATTCTCAGTTGAGAGATTGTCTGCAGAAACATGGAGGCATGTTTGGGGCTAGGAGCAGAGGGCATTTGGGGGTGTGAGAGGTGATGGGGCTGGAGAGGGGCAGAAATAAATCATGAAGGGCCTTGAACATTAGAATAAAGAGCTTAGACTATGCTGTAGACTGATGTGGAGGATTTGAAGCAGGGATCTGACATGTTCAGATTTATATTTTCACAAGATCACTTGAGCTGTAATTACAAAGAAATGATTGGGGGAAGGAAGGATTAAAGGCCAGAAAAAGATGGCACAGTGGTCCAGAAGAAAGAGCAGAAGGTCTGAAGGATTAAAGGCCAGAAAAAGATGGCACAGTGGT